GTTTTCTGGGAAACCGACTGGGTTACAATAAAGTGGAAAGTGAGATGCCTCGCAAGGCCATCTTACTAACAGCAAAAATGGCCTCATGTGTAACGTACGCTTGGACTAGGAAGGCTTTAAACAGACTGTAAACGCCCGTTAGGAAGCAGAGGCCTCATTTTTCATGGGGATTTGTGACTCTTATTAACAACTGTGTACCCTTTAGCCTCTGAAAAGTGTGCTCTTGCGCTTTCACAAGGCAATCAGTGCTTCGTAGCTCTAGGCATATGCAACGTACGGTATTTCACACCCTTCCACTTAGTCCGGCTTCTTAAAAGGCTGAGATAACAGGGATACAGTACCTCCAGTAACACGGTGAAGACATACATCACCGAGAGCTCACCTGAGGCAGCCATGCTGCCATGCTGTCTACTGTCCTGTATACTCAGCTAAACTAAGCGACCCTGGCACTTTATGTCTTATCAGGTTGCACTGATGGGAACGACCATCCAAATTAAAGATGATGCTGGTGGTCAGTCAGAGGGAGTATCACAGAGTAGTAGCACAGTGATGCTCATTCTCCCTCCTGGACTCAACAGGCCCTGTGGCCTCAGTCTAGGTTCAGGAGTTTTATCAGGAACACCAGGTAAATGGGGCTATGAAGCAAACGAAGAAAAATCTCAGTAGATGTTAATGTCTTAATGGTTGCCAGAGTTTGATGGTAAAAGAAAGATTTCCTGGATGAGGTAATCAGTGTTTTCCCTTTGCTCTGCACTAGGGAGGAAAAGCTATAAGGACTGCATATAAACAATTTCGGACCAAATAAAGATGTCCACTGGTGCCATGTTCATCATACATGAAGGGAACCTGTTAAAGAATGAGGCTCAAGGTGAACTGGAGGCGTAATCCAGCTAATAATCCAGATACTGACAATAGTCTTGAGACCATATGCAGTTAGCCCCTGGCTGCAGAGACTGTGGTTCAGATAAGGCTCTGCTGAGCAACAAAATAGAGGTAATATCATATCCGGAGTCGATATTAAATATCTACCTCCGTTTATGCCCCAAGCTATAATCCAAACGTGGGGGTGGGGCCTCCAATTGTTTCTCATCCCATTCAAGATCCAACCAATCCTGGCACACATCAAGAGCCTACGGGGGGCGGGGCGCGGGGGTAAGGAGCTTTGGCAGTGCATGCATTCTGCCTTGGGGCTGAAGAATTTATTCACAGTGGGACTACAAAGAGCTGTTGCCACAGGGCACAGAAGAGATAAATGCAGGGGAGCCTGAGTCCACACACTGGGAGGGTGACGCCACCATTACCTAAGCAGTGATGCAAGTGCTCCACAGCAAACAGGGAGATAGATATGGGAACATGAGTGGTGTGTGCTGGAGGGATTTCACAAAGTGCAGCTCCTGCTGGAGACCTATGGGTTTGTGCCCCACATCAGGTCCCAGCCCTGAGGACCTGCGCTGGAAATGGAGCCCACAAAGTGTTTGGCTTCAAAAACCAACAAGGCTTATGCCCAGGAGAACACTAGGGGTGTAGGCAACGGAGATTCCTCTCTTAAAGGGCTCGTTCACAAGACTTAATGATTTACAGAACTTGCTCCAAGACCAGGAGCAAAAGCAGAAGTTTGAGAAGTGCCCAGACCACATGTGAAGGGGACCCATCTCCAGAAAGAGAAAAGGAAGCCTGTTGGACTCTCACTAGAGACAGAGACTACGGGGAGAGGGAAGGAGTGGTGGCGCCATTGGCGCGCCATCCCCCTACCTTGCCAGCTCCGGGTCTGCCCGGAGCTCCACAGTCGCATCTCACTCTAACCTGCCAGCACCGCTGTGTGCGCACCGTTCCCCTGCTGCAGCCGCGCGGCAAAGCTGACTGGGGAGTGCCCGCTCCCTACCCCCGCTCTGGGCCATCTTCCCGGCATGACTTTTGCCACTCCGCGGGACTCTCCAGTAGCGTCGCCGCCTCCAACACTGCCCGCCGGCTCCGTGGGTGCGGGGCAGCCAGAAGGGGGATGCCCTTTGAGTGCCTGGTCGTGTGGCTAAAATAGGGTGCTGGGGTGCACTACGGGACCCACAGTCTTAAACAATGGAAGACACAGCTCTTGCTGGACAAGCTACCACACCCCAGACACTGCACAGGGAGCAGAGGGAAAACTCACCTCCAATCTTCCACGGAAAAACACCTATTTACTTGTTCTCCAGCTCCAGCCTTAGGAGCAGACGTGGTCAGGATCCACTCACCAAGCCAGGGGCCTGATCTCCACAAAGAGGACCCCGAGGAACTAAATGAAAATGAAAGTTAAATTCTTGGGGGAGTGGCAAAGAAGGAGAAAAACTATGGACCAATGGGAGGCCTTCACATAGGGCCTCTGGAGAATTTCCAGGGCTTTTGTGCCCCGAGGGGCCAGTCGAGCCAGTGACTACATTCTTAACCCTGTCTCAGTTCTGCCCTCCGAATATGTTCTCGCGGTTCTTCAAAGTAATTCATCCTGCGGAGAACTAGGCTTACCCTGGGCAGTGCAATTTCACACACAGCCACCTGATTTTGTTCCCTTACAAATGAGATGTCACGAGGATGGGGAGAGTTCCTATTTTACAGTGAGGACTCACACTGAAGACGCCTCGGACAGCAACACTGGCAGCTCTCTCCTGTCCTGTAGCTACCAGCTAAGCTAAGAGAATCTGGCTATTAGGTCCTGTTAGGTCATGTGAGAGGAAATGGTTATCCAAATCTGAATTATCTCGAGTGCTCAGTCAGAGGGCCTATCACAGACTGGTAGCACCGGGATGCTGACTTTCAGAACCTGGAGCCAGTACGGACAAAATGACACTTTTCCTAAATTTCTGAAATAGGCTGCAAAAATGAAACTACATGGAGTGTCATTTGTTAGCAATGTCATCTGATTCTATATAACAGAAAATCTCTATAGTCCTAACATAATAAAAATAAAACTGGAAAGTAATTGTGATGGTTAATTATATGTTTCAACTGGACTAGCCACAAGGTGCCCAGAATAAACCTCATTTCCGGGTGTGTTTGTGAGGGTTTTGTTTCCAGATGACATTAACACTGCAATCTGTGCACTCAGTAAAATAGATTGTCCTTCCCAATGTTTTTGGGCATCATCCCATCTCTTGAAGGCCTGAGTAGAACAGAGACAGGGGAAGAAAGAACGTGTTCCTTGTGCTTCCTGCCTGCCTACCTGGACTCGTATTAACCACCACGACCATCTGGTTCTCAAGCTTTTGAACTTGGACTAAATTACACCACCAGCTTTCCTGGCTCTCCAGTTTGTAGAAGGCAAGTCCTTGAACTAGTCAACCTCTATAATCACACAGGCCAATTCCTCGTAATACATCTTCATATATTTGAAAGCTATATATAACATTGGTTCTGTTTCTCTGGAGAATGTTCACTAATAGAGTATGAAACAATTCTAAAATCTTGTGTAAGTGGCACAGTGAATTGTGAGAATATGACTCAGGTGAACAGTGCAATTTTCAAAGATGTGTGCTTAAAAGTGACTTGGGACAGGTAAAGGTAAAAAGGAGAAAGTTGTAGAGGTGATAATGCACAAAGTCAACCTTAATCCAGTAAGAGCAGGTCAGATAAGGAGAAGCCAGAGTAAAAAAAAAAAGAGAGAGAGGAGAGCTTGGCTGTAATTTCCCATCCAGTTAGTCCAGTGGAATGGAATGAACTTTTTTCTTTAACAGGAGAGGCGGTTAAATAAAGAGGCACCCCTACTTTAACTCTTTTTTCTCATGGGTCTCAGAATCTTGTTGTCATGCCACTTCTAATATCTTGTCAGATTATTAGCACCAGTTTTTGTTTTATTAAAAGTTGCAGAGATTCCCTTCATGAAAATTCTTCTTATGTGCTCCCCCTTCTCCTGATCTCTCAGTAGAAATCAGTTTCTAATTGGCAGATACGGTCCAAGGAGATGAGCAAGGTTAGTGATTTTAGAGGAACTGTAATAGATCCCTGAGTTTGAACTTGGAAATCTTGTAGGACTAGTAAATACAAAATAAGTTATAAAGCAGGGCAGCTGTCACAATTGCAAAGTTCCCAATCCCAGAGAGGACAGTGTGCTAGAAATTTATGTTGAGAGCCATCAAAATTCTACATTATTACCCTTGAAGTGTTAAATTATTAAGCGTCAAAGAACTCTTGTGACTTTCCTCTGTTTTCTTTCTCAAAATATGTCTTTCAGCTCTGAGCAGGGTAGGCATAGCTCTGTGTGCAGAACTGGTCCAGCAGCCTGGGTTGTGGCTCATGGAACTCCAGAGACTCCTTCTCTAGGACTTCCTTTGTTAGGATTTCTCAGGAAATCCTAGGATTTCCAGGAGGTACGAACTCAGTTACTATACCTTGTGAGGAAATGAAAATGCGTAAGTGGAAGGCAATAGGGAGGCTGCAGTGGGGAGCCCAGTGTTATCACTAATACTATCATTAGTACTATCTACCCCACCCACTTTGCACCCAGTAGGACAAGTTATTATCTATCGATATCTTGATAAGAACTCTGTGCAGTGATCTGCTCTAATTTATAATGTATGCTCCTCTAAGAAAAGTTTCTTCTTTTGCTATTCTGGGTAAGTCTATTCCTTGTCATAAATTTGAAACTGACTTAAAAAAAAGAAAACTAAAGGAAAGAAAAAAATTAAAGAAAGAAAAGTGCATAGGATAGTATAAACCATGGTATACCCCAGTGTTTTACCACAAGGAAAAGGCCTCAACACGAAAGGACCATCTCTGATAAGAACAGCTGTCCCTAAGATATGGCTTCCTTGCTGGACAGATTTTAGAAACTCAGACTTTTACAATTTTCTGTCCCATTCCCAATAAAGGGCCTTAAAACAGTCCCAGACTCTGTGTAAAAAGTTCTACAAAAGAATGAAACTGGAGTGGTCTTGACAGCAGAGTCTGGCATTTGAAAAATGAGATTTCAGTAGAATTTTTTACCGTTCTTCTGAAGGGTACAAATCTGTTGCACAGGATACTGACACCACGTACACTTTTCAATATTCACAAGAACAAATATTTATTATATTGTACAGCACACTGAAATAGATTCTTTACATTGAATGAAAGTTAGTTTTACACAACGATCTTAAGGGTGAGTTAGGTGCGGTTTAAAATCCCAACTTGTATTTTATGAAAAGAAACCCAGATTTTATTGATCATCACACACCTTCTAGGAGAAGAGATAGGTTTTGAACTCAAACACTCAGAACATACACTCTTCACTCTGAGTACATATATATAGTCTATTATTTCCTTTACTTGACTCTGATAAACCTGCTGTATTCTGGGCAACAAACAGACATATACTCAAAGACTCCTTTGTTGGTGCTGGTGGGTGAGGGTGATATGAATTGTCCCAGGATAATGGATGGTGGCAGATAGGCTTTGCCATGTCTCTTCAATCAGCAATAAAGGAAAATATGGAGAAATGAGAGGGCAAAGATGTTATACCAATACTGTTCTGTCTATAGGAAAGATTAGACATCTTTCACTGAGAATACAATAAAAAAAGGTAAATGGATAAATAAGCTTCTCTTCTAACTTAAACCAGAAACAGAATATATCCCAAAGGTGAGTAAAAGTTCTAAAGAATGGAGACAGCAAGGAAGAGATGTTCTGAGTATAGAAATCAGCTCAGGTGCAAGAGATGATACCAGGGCAAGGGACATGACAAGAAGTGAGTAAAAAAATGAGAAGGTTCAGGAGTTTGGCTGGCATAAAGTCATGGGAGCTAGGCAATTCCAAGGGTTGAAATATGGGTAAGCAGTCTGAGAAAACTGACATCTAGAGAACTTGTAAATGAGCGACCCATGATTTGTGATATTAAAAAATGAGACAATGCCTGCTTCATAGTCTAGGAAAACCCCAACTCGACGGGGAGGAACAGCCGTGAAAAGAGTCAAGACTTTAGGATGAGAAGTGGAAGCGTCCTCAAAGGCCATGTACTCAGATATATTCCGTAACCCTACAACCCAGTAACCATTTTCAGGTCTGTATTTGGAGTAATGATTTACATTTGGGTCAAAACGCAACTTCGAGTAATGATTTACATTTGATTTAAAAACAAACCCCGAGCTATTTTTTCCAAAGTGGTTATTTGTTTTCCTGCACACCCCCAGGATCCAAGCAGTCTTCCCAGACACGTCAACTTCCCAGTAATATTTCCCCGAGGAGAAATTTTGGCAGCCGAAGGCATCAAAATCAGAAAAGTTACACGAATGTAGATTCCTAAACATAAAACAGTCTCCAGCTTTCACTTGTCTCTGATCCATAGAAATGACAACATTCGAAAGAGAGTTCTCTGGATTCAGCATTATGTCCACTGTAGGAAAAATTACAATCTCAGGTGAATTATATAGGGCTTGTGTGTCTTGTGATATTTTTGAAGAGGAATACTGGGGACTGATAACAACTTGAGTTGATGGGTCAGAGATGAGCAGATCACGTAAGAACTGTCATGTATATGCATGTTTGGGAGGGAACTAAAATCATGGGACCTAAAAGTAACCACACTCCTAAAAAGGGATCAGAACATGGTGATTTGAAAACTCTGCAACTTATTCTTACCCCAGTAGCTCTGGACTTCTGTCAGCTCTGAAATGACAAAAGTTTCAATGATATTGTTAGAAGCAAAGGAGGAAACACTAATACCTATCCTTTGTCTCGAATGATGACAGGGTAGGGGAGCCCTATGAGGCTATCAATTGGTGAATGAGAGGACACCAGGTCATTCCCACTTAGAGATGATCACATCTTCAGCACAGGGTATCTACCTCTCCCCATCAAGCCTACAGCCTCTCTTTTGTCCTCATCTAGAAAGAACATCCACTCCCCTGCTTTTCTCTGATACTATAAGAACCGCACACCCACACCCCTCCCCTGGTTCTCCTCACCTTTAAACCCTTGCAGCATCCCACTCAGGTCTGGAACTCGGAATGTACTCTTCAGTTTCTTGGGAACAATTTTTGGCTTCTTCAAGGTCCAGCTCTCACTCCTAGAGAAGACAAAAATTGATCATCCACACTTCGGACCTTGTGTCTCTCCAAAACCACTGTCTCCCTCACCTTTCACATCATTGATGTACTCAAATCCTCTTCACTGAAGAGCCTGAGGAAGAGAGAAGTGAGAGCCCCGACACTGCAGCCTGAAAAAATGTCCTCACATCTACCTTTCTATTTACCCTCTGTGTGACCTTGGGAAAGCCTACTCAAAGAAGCTCGTGTTCTTCCTTCTAAAACAGAAAAATTAACCCGTGCTCTCAACTGCTTAAAAATAATACAATATTAGATGAAATAATAGTACTCTTAAAAGCCGTTTGATATGTCTAAAAAAAATATTTGATATACGAAGTTAAAGTCATCTCAGTGGCTCCTCCAGGGATAGTACTCTTAAAAGCTGTTTTATATCTATAAAAAAAATATTTGATATACGAAGTTAAAGTCATCTCAGTGGCTCCTCCAGGGAGAGGCCAGAGATGTGGTTCCCAGGCAGATGATCAGTAGCGAGACTCTAGAACCTGGCTACTGAGACCTTTAGGTTATCAAATGTGGGAGTATTGGAAGTCTGAAGGGTGTCCAAAGACAGTTATCCCAGTACAGATGCCTAGAATAACATATGAGGTCACGTTCTCTGGAAGAAACATGACAAACATTTGGGAAAGGAGAAGTTATGACGTCCAAATTAATAGTGGTCTGAATTTCATGTACTTATGAAGACCTTGATGCTCCCAAGTGGGTAGGCAACTTTAGACAAAGGAAGCCTTTTTTCCTACAAGATGCTAAAGCGTGTGAGCAGAGATTAATTTTTAGCACCGGGACCAAAACCACTATTCCCTGAGACTTGAGTCTATTTTTTTTTTTTTTTTTGAAATCCAAAGAACACCACTTAGAAAGACCTGATTTCTTCTATCCTCAAGCAAAAAAAAAAAGTAAAGGTCTGCCCTTGTGGAAAATTTGGGGGCCTGGCAGATAAAGAAGACGAGATCCTCCCTGTGACAAGACAAGCACTTATGAAGTACAGAAATAAGAGCTCAGACAGAGACTAAGGTTCGACTACAATGAACAACGTTATGGGGTTCTGATACAGCAACCCCTTATTAGTAATGCTTCTATTGACTCTAACTCTGTGACCTCCCACCACCCAAATTCCCTATCATTAAAAAATTTCATCTGTGATTAGCCATTGGAAACAACGTAATAAGCAAATTTCCCAGGTCTGTGATTTTTTTAAAACTTCTGATTGATTCTAAGATTACTCTTAAGGCTATAATTCTGTTTTCAGATAAAAAAGACCAAACCTGGTCTCGCATACATACCTTCTTATAACGTTAATCACATCCTGGGGAGAAGAGAGAAAACATGAGTCAAGCACAAGGTTGCCAGATTTCGAAAATAAAAAAGGCAAGTTAAAATTTAATTTTGGATAAATAACAAATACGTTTTAGAATAAACACGACCTCTGTAATATTTAAGATATTCTTCTACTAAAAAATAAATAATAATAACAATAATAATAAAATAAGTCATTTATCTGAAATTCAAATTTAACTGCACATCCCAAAAGTGTTTGGCAAACCTCAAAGGGGCAATCAGCCCTCCTATCTTACAGACTTTTACTCATCTTCCTCCTCACATGCCAGCACCCCTTGATATGGTGTGAACAAATAGATGGTCAGAGTATGGGTGACAAAATGTAGAGGTAAGACCCAGACCGACCATCCTAGAGGACTCATGCGAGGATGCAAGAAAGATGCTTCGAGGATCTGGAAATGGAATTTAATTCAAAGAAAGGGAAGAGACCTACTATTTCTTTAATATGCACTCATGAGAAGACCTCCTTACTTTTTTATGCTTGTATTTATTCTAAAATCAAATAACATTGAAATCTGTTTGTCAGACATCATTCCAGGCTCTGAGGAATTAAAGGAGAATAATTAAATTATAGTCCCCAAGAAGTATATATTTTTTTTTACTGCAAGAACAAGCAAACTAGAACTTCAAACAAGTGTTTCTCTGGCCATCCTCTAATCACTCTCTACACCTCCTACGCACTACAAAATTTATTTTATACTTCATAAATTTTGAAGTATAAAATAAGCCGCAGGAACCAGAAGCAGAGAAAGCTTCAAATGAAATTTACTGTTTCTCAACTATTCACATTCACTGTCCAGAACAGTATCAATACCCACTCCATCACTGTCTTAAAACTACATCTTACCCTGAATTCTAGTATTGAATTAAGCCAGTCAAATCTATAACCTCAATTTTTTTAGCCATCTTCTTTTCCCCATCATAATATTATTTGCCTAATTTTTTAACAGAAATGTACAAATATATTTAGATTCCATCTCTCTAGTCTCACCCCTTTATATCAACAAAAGACTTAGCCACCTGTTGGTTCTACATCATCTCCGTACTAGATTTTTTTGTTGTTATGTATATGACAAAAAACCTAATTAAAACTGGCTTAAATTTAAAATAAAAAAATTCAGGGGGCAGGTATAACTTTTGTCATAGATATGTTTTAAGTTAAAAATCTTGTCATTAAAATCTATTCTTTCTTCCCAAAATTCTATTTTCAACCTGCCGCATAGACTTTCTTTTCAAACTCTATATGGCATCAACTTGAATATCCTGGTTTAAATTATAATCCTTGATATATTACTTAGCAGAAAAGAGAATTTCTCTTTCTAGTCTTAACAATAAAAGTCTCAGGTATATAAATCATTGCCCCAAACTGGGCCAGGTGCCTACCTTAAAATAATTACTGCATCCCTGGTAAACATATAGGAATCGAATATGCTGGTTTTGAGAGACATGTACACCCCTGATGCTACTGATTTTATCAATCCTAACCAACTATATGAACTAAGGGTGGGGATGGTTCCTCAAAGGGTAATTCAAGAGATCACTACCAAAAAACGAAAGTAATTGAATTGAGGTTGGACAAACAACTATCCCATACTGCCCATCCCTTAACTGACTGCCATCTCCTCACACTTTTTATCAAATTATTTTTTTTAAAAATGGCTCACTATAATATAATGGCTACAATAATATTAAAAATGGGGAAAGGATTTAAATAACCATGTCTCTGAAGATATACAAACGGCCAATAAACACATGAAAACATGGTCAACATTACTGGTCATTATAGAAATGCAAATCAAAACCACAATGAGATATCACTTCACACCCTTAAGGATGGCAAAAACAAAAAATAAAACAAAGTAAAACGAAACCACCTCATGAATAATAAAAAGTGTTGGTGAGTATATGAAAGAACTGGCACTCTCCTGCATTGTTGGTATGAATGTAAAATGAACCTAAGAAAAACAGTTTGGTGGATTCACAGAAAGCTAAACAGTTACCATTACATTTCAGCAATTCCATTCTGAGGCATATACCCAAAGGAACTGAAAGCAGACTCAGACACTTTCATGCCAACGTTCACTGCAATATTATTCACTATAGCGAAAAGGTGTAAGTAGCCTGTGTCTATCAACAGATGAAAAAAGAAACAAAATGTTCCATATACATACAATAGAAAGTTATTCAGCCATAAAAAGGAATGAAGTTGGGATACAGGTAACAACATGGATGAACTTTGAAAATATGCTAAATAAAACAGGCCAGACACAAAGGGACCGATGTGGTGTGATTCCACTTATGTTGTAGAGGTACCTAGAATAGGCAAATTCATATAGATAGAAAGTAGATTAGCAGTTACTAGGAATAGGGTTCGGGGGGAATGGGAAATGGGGAGTTATTGCTTAATGGTTACAGTTTCTGTTTGGAGTGACGAAAACATTTTAGAAATAGGTAGTGGTGATTTTTGCACAACATTGTGGATGTGATTAATGCCCCTGAAGTATATACTTTAAAATAACTAAAACATAAAATTTTTTGTTGTATGTTTTGCCACAACTGTTTTAAAAATTTATTAATGTAATATAATAATAAGTACCATGGAATTTTATGAATTAAATGAATAAATTGTGGGAGGATTATCTTTCTATAAAGGTGCTAAAAGAAGAAATGGACAAGAGCCCTTTCTTAGGGTAGAAGATGTAAACTCTCATCTAACATACAAATCTACTTTCAAATACATTTCTATCACTTTCTTTCTTATCTGTCGAAACATAGCTCCTTATGATTGGCCTAGCAACCAATAGATACATGATAAAATGATCATTGCCCCTAAATGGTCCAGATAACAGGAAAACTGTCATTTCAACTCCTAGTTGGCAAAGCTATGGAGGATAAAGACCGGAAGCCCACCACATATATCATAACAAGTTAAAACAATTTGAAGAAGAAAAAAACAAAATCAAAGTGTTTCCTGAGTGGCCCACATGACTGCCCCAAATCTATTTTTGTCAGTAATGGTCCATGACCCCACCCAAGAGGAAGATTATAGACAATATCGATTATGTGACTATACCTTACCAATAGGTACAGTTTTTCAGGTTGCATATTAAAGTATATATATTGCCTCAGAAATGGAACAATCATAGGCCATCATTTCCCACAATTGTGATTTATCTTTCTGTCTATCTAGTTTTGAATGGCAAAGATGTCACATTCATAAACATGAAATAGAGAAAGATGAAGAGTGCAAAATAAGAATTTATTAGATCAGGTAAGGAAAAATTGAAAAGGAAAAGACAGAAAAAAAGAGGGAGAAATGAAAGAAATTGAAATGTCCAGATTGGAAAATCAATAAAGTTGTATTTATTTACAGATGGCATGATCCATTACATAGACAGGCTCAAGGATTACACACACACACTGTGAAAACTAATAAAAGAGTTTAGGAATGTGTGGGATACTAGATCCATATTAAAACTTTACTGTATTTTTTATCATTAGGCATGAATAACCCAATATGAAATTAAGACATTTATTTACAACAGAAACCAAAAGAATCATCTTAAATACTTAGAAATAAACTTAAGAAAATAAGTAAAAGACTTCCGTGCTGAAAACTACAAAATATTGCTGTTAGAATGTAAAGACTACCTAAATAAAAGAAGAGATCTTAAACTGTTAAGATAACAATACTGCTCATATTATTCTTTAAGTCCCCTATAACGCCTATCAAAATACCAGCAGGCTTTTAATAAAAATTAACAAGATATCCAAAAATTTTAATAGAAAATTCAGTGGACCTAGGATAGTAGTTCTCAACCATGTCACTACTGGCATACTGGCCCAGATAATTCTTTGCCATGGAGTCAGGTTGGCAGCATCTCTGGATTCTATCCACTAGATGGCAGTAGAATTCTCCAAATGTACCCAGAAAGGGGGTGAGGTGGGGCGAGGTGCTTAAATGGTCTCTACAGAGAATAACTAACTTAGAATAGAATTGTTTTGAAATAGGTTTGAATAGAATTGTTTCAATTTTTTTCAAACAATTTTTAAAAATAAAAACACATTTGGAAGATTACCCTACCCAATTTCAAAATGTTCTATGAAGGCACAGTAATCAAAAGCTTAGAGTATCCGTGCAAGAATAAACATAGATTCGTGTACCAGAATGATAATCCAGAAATATATCCTTACATTTGGAGAAAATAAATTTTTGATTCAGGTGCCAAAATAACTCAGTAGAGGAAGAGGAGAGTCTTTTCAACAAATGATGAATTGAATTTATTTATGGCTTAACAACTCAATATATTTACTAAAATCTTTGAATTGTACACTTACAATGGGTAGATTTTATATGTAAGTTATACCTCAAGAATATGTTCTTTTAAGGCAGAAGAAAGATACAGCAGATGGAAATTGATTATTCCAGTACTGGAACCAAAGTTAAGAAATTCTTGTTCAGCTAGCAAAGGAGAATGGCAAGAAGTCAAGCAGAGAAAGTCTGACATTTATTGAATTTCCCAATATATTACATAGCTTAAGATCTCAGTCATTCAGTAAATTTCATGGAAAAAATTTAAATATTCATACTATGTACAATCCATCCATTAAGTTTCTACAGGGTTTCTCTTACGTCCTTTCCTAGCCAACATACATACACACAGAAGCACACCCATATATTCATACATGCTCATCCCTTACTTCAGTATGACAGTCTAGCATTACCTTTGCCACCCCTCAACAAAACAACTCAGATATAAACAGATTTGAGTTGTTTGACTAAGCTTAGTGAAGAGATGCTTTACAAATGCTAGATCACATAACCGGGAGCCTGTGACGAATCTTCTCTCTAAATTTTTGCACAATCTTTTATAAAGTAATAATGGGACTTTCCCTTGACAATTGTACATCAGATTATCTCTATGATCCTTGAAATGAATGGCAGAGAAGGGGCACTGAGAGGTCAAAAGAACCTTTTAATGAGAAAGTGCAGATACCCAGAAGGAAAGGAAAATTAGTCTCTGCGTTTCCCCCCATAACTAGGTTTCTACATCCCAAGTCCTACCTGCAGCGTGTCTATTGATGATCCCTGCATCTGACATTTGAGATCTGAGATGAGCTCTCTCATGTACTGTTTCTGCTGGGCCACCTGGTCTTTAGCCACTGCCAAGTTATCCAGCACATTCACTTCAACTTCCTCCAGCTTTTGCATCTCCTTCTTCTCTTCACTGTCCAGGATGCCTCTCATTTTATCAAACCCTTTCAGAATCTTCTGTCTCTCAGTCTGCATACAATTCTTTGGGGCGAGGAGGTGCGGGGGACAAGAAGAGAAAAAGGCAGTCAGTCAGTCTAGCTGATGGCCTACTTTTCATGGCCCTGAGAGCCAAGACAAGAACTATTTTTCTCAGGCAGTGCTCAGAGGGATAGGAGGTGAAATGAAATGAGCAGTTCCTAGGAAAACCATTTTTCCTACTATTGTCCCTTGTGCTCTTCCCAAAGCAATTCATTCAAGTCTACTTCATCAAGGTGTACCAGGAGACACAATGTGATACCTGGATGAGGTCTAGATTGCAGACACCCATCCTGGATAATCATGCCACACTGTATATTAAACTCCTCTACCCAAAATTCCTAGACAGAATGCTGGCCTTTCTCAGTGTGTTTTCTGAAAGTATCAGAGCCTTAAACTGTGACTGACAGTAATGGGACATGGGATTCATTAGCCATTTTTATATCATTTCTCTGTTTGCCTCTAAACAGTTGGGTTTCACTTGTGATATGTCTACTCTTCAGTTGCCAACACTCAACAGGGAAGGGGTTGAAGGCAAACTAATCAAATGTCTTCTGGACACATGAATTCCGAGGTAACAAGGAGGAAGGGGCCTCCTTGTGATTGGACCATGGTGCTGCCTAGTTTCCTGTCTCAGAACTCCCTCAGGAATAATCTCTTCCTGCCTTCCAGGTAGCTTTCTCTTCACTGATGTCAGCTTCTAACTCCTCAGCTTCCTGCTGCTCCTTCGTCAGCTTCTTCAGAGCTTCCTGCAGCTTCTCCTGTGAAAAAGAAATCACCAAAGTCAAGCTATGAGCTTTCTCAGCACCTGGATAGAAAATAAATGGGGAAGAAATTGGGCTCATCTTAGAAAAGAACAAAGTTTACAGAAATGATACTGGCAATTAGAACTGACAATGTAGACAAAAATCTTAGACTGTAAATGTATTCACTATCCTTGGATGATGCAAAGTACCATCACTTTATCAAAAGTAGCCTGCATCTCTTTTTTCTTAGAGGAAGAACTGATCCTACAGCAAGAAAAGTCCTTTCCTGTCACAGATACGTTTCCCACATCTAAGCAACCATGTTCCCAAAAATCCTTCCTGCAGAGAGGAGCAATAAAATCGACATTTAGAGTCAACGCTCACTCACACAAATTCTGTTTGCTAAGATTTTATAACCTGGTAAGGATAACACAAAAAAAGAAAGCTATAGACCAATATCTCTCATGAACACAGATGCAAAAATCCTAAATAAGATAATAGCAAACTGAATACAGCAACATATTAAAAAGATTATACACCACGATCAAGTGAGTGGGCTTCATCCCAGAGGTACAGGGATGGTTCAACATACGCAAATCAATTAATGTGATACTCCACATAAACAACTTAAAAAATAAGAATCATATGATCGTATCAATAGATGCAGAAAAAGCCTTCAACAAGATTCAGCATCCATTTATGATCAAAACACTTAACAAAATTGGTATAGAAGGAAAGTACCTTAACTTAATAAAGGCCATATATGACAAACCCTCAGCCAACATTATACTTAATGGTGAAAAACTAAAAACCTTCCCTCTAAGATCAGAAACAAGGCAAGGTTGCCCACTATCACCACTGTTATTCAATATAACACTGGAGGTCCTAGCCAGTGCAATCAAGCAAAAGAAAGATATTAAAGGCATCCAAATAGGAAACGAAGAAGTCAAACTGTCACTGTTTGCGGACGACATGATTCTCTATATAGAAAACCCTAAAGACTCCACAAGAACACTACGAGAAACAACAAGCAAGTACAGTAAAGTCTCTGGATACAAAATCAACGTTCAAAAATCCATAGCATTCCTATACTCTAATAACGAAGTGTCAGAAAAAGAAGAGGAAAAAATAATTCCTTTTGCAATTGCAACAAAAAGAATAAAATACCTAAGAATAAATCTAATGAAACATGTGAAGGACCGATATAATGAAAACTACAAGACCCTATTAAAAGAAATCGAAGAAGATACAAAGAAATGCAAAGATATTCCGTGTTCTTGGAATGGAAGAATCAACATAGTTAAAATGACCATATTACCTAAGGCATTATACAGATTTAATACAATTCCCATCAAAATCCAATTGGCTTTTTTTAAAGAAATAGAATAAAAAATCATCAGATTTCTATGGAAGCACAAAAAACCCTGAATTGCCAAAGCCATCCTGAGAAAAAAAAATGAGACTGGAGGCATCACTCTGCCTGACTTCAAATTATACTACAAAGTGACAGTAATCAAAACGGCATAGTATAGGCAGCAAAACAGACACACAGACCAGTGGAACAGAATCGAGAGTCCAGAAGTAAACTCACATTTATATGGACAAATAATTTTCTACAAAAAAATCAGAAACATACAGTGGAGAAAGGAAAGCCTCTTCAATAAATGGTGCTGGGAAAACTGGAAAGCCGCCTGTAAAAGAATGAAACTAGATTGTTGCCTATCACCACACACCAAAATTAACTCAAAATGGATTAAGGACCTGAATCTAAGACCTGAAACAATAAAATGCATGGAAGAAAACATAGGAACTAAACTCAAGAACCTTGATCTTAAAGAGGATTTTATGAATTTGACCTCTAAAGCTAAAATAAATGGATGAGACTACATCCAACTAAAAGCTTCTGCTCTGCAAAAGAAATTATCAACAAGGTAAAAAGACAATCATCAGAATGGGAAAATATATTTGCAAGCAATGCCTCCAATAAGGGCCTAATATCCAGAATACACAAAGAACTCATATGACTCAATACCAACAAAAAAACAAACGATCCAATCAAAAAATGGGCAGAGGATCTGAACAGACATTTCTCCCCAGAGGACATACGAATGGCCAACAAATATTTGAAAAGATGCTCAATATCACTAGCTATTAGGGAAATGCAAATCAAAACCACAATGAGATACCATTTCACACCTGTTTGAATAGCTATAATCAACAGGACAAGTAATAACAAATGCTGGAGAGTATGTGCAGCAATAGGAACCCTCACATACTGTTGATGGAACTGCCAATTGGTACAGCCACTATGTAAAACAGTATGAAGGTTTCTCGAAAAACTAAGAATTGATCTACCGTATGATCCAGCAATCCCTCTACTGGATATTTACCCCAAAGACTTGAAAACTCATATCCATAAAGATATTTGCATATCAATGTTAATAGCAGCATTATTTACAGTGGCCAGGACATAGAAACAACCAAAGTGTCCACAATAGATGATGGGCTAAAGAAGATATGGTACATATACACAATGGAATATTACTTAGCCGTAAGAAGAGATGAAATACTGCCATTTGCGACAACATGGATGAACCAACCTTGAAATAATCATGCTACATGAAATAAGCTAGAATAAAAAAGTTAAAAATCACATGATATCACTTATATAGGAGATATAAACCTAAAAGCAACAAATGAACAGGACAGAGACTCATGGACATGGACTATAGACTAGTGTTTACCAGAGGGTAGGGTGTGGGGGAGGAGGTGGGAGGTAGATGGGGTAAAGTGGGTCAAATATAGGGGATTTAGGGAAGGATGAAGTGGATAAAGAGGATCAAATATATGGTAGTTGAAGGATACTGGACTTTAGGTGGTAAACACACAATAGAATATACAGATGTCAAATTATAATGTATACCTGAAAATAATATACTTGTATTAACCAATGTTACCCCAATAAACAATTTAAAAAAGATTTTGTAGTCTACGCTTACTCTTGAAGAAAATGAGAGAATGCACAGAAATGTGCCTTAGGCCTCAGAAGCTGAGCCAAGGGTATGAAAAGAGAACACAAGCCTTAGTCTTATGATGACAAAGTGATTAAATAGAGTTAAAAAAAAAAAAAAAAAAGCAAAGATTTTACTTCAGATACCATTCTGCACACTGTTCCTCCGCATTGGGGCCTACCTGACACTCCTTGACCACTTCCTCCACAGAGAACATTTGGTGACCGTGGTGTTCCGGAGACAGCACACAAAGCCTGCAAATGGCTTTTCCATCCTCCTTACAGAATACATGACGAATTTTCCCATGGTGCTCACAGAGGTCTCCCCTCTGCTGCTGCTGTGACCTCACACTGACCTCCCTTACTTTCTCTACTATGTTGGCCAGTTGCCGATTAGGCCGAAGGTTCCAAAGCTGGTATCTGCTCTGGCACACGGGACAGCGGCATTCCCCTCCTAGCTGGCTTATGGACTCCTTGTTGTTTGCAGTGATGCAGGCTTGACAGAAGCTGTGGCCACAGTCCAGGCTCAGGGGTTCTGTGAGGAGCTCCAGGCATATGGGACACGTCAGTTCCTCCTTGATGTTCACCTGTGCTGAAAAATCCATTGCCATGCTCACTTGACTTCTTCCTGTCTTGACTCCTGATGCTCCTTTTGCTTACAAACTCCTGCAGGACTGGGAATATTGAAGGAGGCAGGATAAGAAAGGCAGGAATAGAAAGGATACTGATTGTGCAGATTTAGAACTGGACAAAATTTTAATATTTAATAAAGGAAGAAAAAGAGAGAAGAAGAGTTGATCGGTGATGGAATGGGAAGGACTCTGTAATAATTTCAAACATTTTACTCTTAGTTTATGTCACATAACAAATTTCATCCCGTCAGGGCAATGATTGCTATTTTCTCTTCTGCTGGATAGAAAGACAAATTGAGGCCCTTCCTACCAAGAGCTTTGTGCAACCCATCATTAATCCTGTCTTTTCTTCCCAACCCCAAAACACATCCTCCATTTTAAATGCACTAACCCCACTGTGGCTGCCGGGCTTTTGCACTTGTTCTTCTCTCTGCATAGAATGATCCTACCCCTGCCATTTGCATGACTTACTTTATTTCAACAGGTTCATTGAATTAGATTTACATCTCATGTATCTATTTTAAGAGTACAATAATTTATAGTAAATTTATGGAACGATATAACTATCACCACAATCCAAATTAAGAACATTTTTATTTCTGGATAACAAACCTAATGCCATTAGTAGTCACCCCTATTCTGATCCCGACACTCAGGCAACCAACCATTAATCTCCCTTGTGCTTTTACGATTTGCATTTTCCGATTAATTCATAAAAGTGGAACCATAATATATGGTCTTTTGAGTCTGAGTTCTTTCACTCCCCATGCTGTTACTGAGGTTCATCACTCCTGTCTTCTTTCCCATACAAAAAACATTCTTGATAGTAAAAGCACAAAACCCACTGCTGCCTCAGAGGTTTTGCACTTGTCTCTCTGCATGGACCGATTCTTTCCCTGCTGTCAGCATTACTTACTCTTACATTTTATTCAGTCTCCCCTTTACATGTCCTCTTAGCAGAAGGATTTGCTCTAACTTACTGGTAACAAAACTGCCAATACCATTGCCTGCTGTACATTTGCTATATTTTTCTTTTTCTTTTTTCTTTTTTTTTTGTACTACATAATATCTACCATCTTTCTTTAACTGTCTATCTTTTCCTCCTAAAAAGTAATGTAAGCATAGATCAGGCACTGTTTTGTTCACTGATGTATCCTCAGTAGCTAGAACATTGCATCCACATATATGATGAATATATAAAACTAGAATCTCTTCATCTCTCTATAGATGATTAGACTTTTTTATTAGCTTTTCATCTTTTTTTCCATCAATTAGCAGTTCTCTAATAGTTGAGATGTGTTTACCTCCTAACATACCTATCCCACACAGAGCTTTCCTATGCCCTCAAATTCATTTCCCAGAGACACCTACAGAAACAGCAAGGTCTACAACAGAAAGATCATGTTATCACTAACAATTTTATAATCAGTTATAATTTAGAAATCACCTCGACCTATTTATTTCTCATATAAAAATTTGATAGAGTGTTCCCTTCTTCAGATGTGTAAATAGAATAAATGACTTACAGAGTTCCTTCTTTTATCACAGGTAGAATTGGGGTGAACATATTATCCTCCAGATATCCCTTCAGAGTTCTCTCCACTAGTACACAGATTTAAGCAAAGACAAACAGAGATAGAGATTGCAAAAACGAGATCAATACCCAGTGCCATGGGGGTAAAGAAATGGAGAGATCAAGACCAGCTGGGTGGTTATGAGGAGTCTTGTGTTTTTAGATGTTGGGCCTTTACCTTGGCCTGGATACAAGGCAACATGTCAACAGGCACCTGAAGGTTTATGGTTTTAGGGAGAAAGAGAGGAGTTTATATACTTAGAATCACATGCGACACAGACCTGAGGAACACAAATTCCAATGTGGCATCTGCCAGTCTTGGGAGAGAAATTTCAATATATTAGGGAGGTTATATAGTGGAGAGAAAAAGTGTGTCCTGTTTCAAACACACTGAATGCTATTAAGTGTTGAATTGTGTCCCTAGAAAAGATGTTGAAGTCCTAACCTCCAGTGTGTGTGAGTGTGACCTTACTTGGAAATGGTGTCTTTGCAGATGATCACATTAAAATGCAGTCATTAAGGTGGGCCTTAATCCAGCAAGAGAAAATATGTACACAGAGAGATGTGCACATGTGGAGAATGCCACATGAAGGGAAAAGCAGATATCAGAGTGATGCAACTATACACCAAGGAACGTTAATGATTGCTAGCCAACTATCAGAAGCCAGCGGAGGGGTGTGGAACAGACCCTTTCCTCAGTCCTGAGAGGAATCCACTGTCAACACCACAGGTGTCATATTTCTATCCTCCAGAACTGTGAGAATACAAATTGTAATTAAGCCATCTAGTTTGTGGTACGTTTTTCATGGCAGCCCTAGAAAATTAACACAAGTGCTTACTTTTGCTTTATTCGTTCATTTTATTCTGTCATTGAAGAAGTATTACACCATTGAAAACCTCCCCACTTAAGACATAGACAACATGTATGTCGAGTGAAATAAGACAGAGAAAAAGAAATACCATATGATTTCACTTATGTATAAAATCTAAAAAATAAAATAAATGGACAAAGAAAACAGAAACAAACTCATAAATACAGAGGACATTTCAATGGTGCCAGATGGAGGAGGGGGATTGGAGGACTGGTGAAAAAGAAGAAGGGATTAAGAAGTGCAAACTGGTAGTTACAAACTAGTCATGGGGGTGTAAAGTGTGTAGCATTAGGAATATAGTAAAAATATTGTAATAATTATATAAGGTGGGTGGGTACTAGACTTATCCAGGTGATCACTTCTTAAGTTATATAAATGTCTAATCATTATGTTATGTACCTGAAACTTGCAGGAAGCGACACCCGACGGAGGAATTTGGACACTCAGACAACTTTGTTAGAGAGGTTAACAATTCCATGCATGAGCTCAGTCTGGTTGGATTTATTACAGTTTAATATACTTTTGCAGTGTCCATGCAAAAGTGTGCCTCTTTTTTCAGGATGGGGAGGGGGAGCTTCGGGTGGGGGGTGCTGCAAGGGGGAGGAATTTTCAGACCACTGGTCTTACAGGTAGTTTTGTGGAAACTGCGACCTTGGCATTACCAGCACCATTATAGGATTCTCAAACAGAGAGAGACGGACATTGAGGTTATAAGTAGGAAGCAACACTTATTAATGCCAGTGGATTCCTATCCAAAGGCTGAGCTCTAATTGTAACATAACAAGCAGTTTTTACAGTCTTGTTATTCCTACCAGCTACAGAGATAAGAACATTAGTTGGATAGCAAGTTGTGAATCAACAGATGTGAGCTGGAGAGCCCTGGAGGCAGAGACAGGGCAGTCAGGAATGGACCTTAACTGGCTGAGTTGTTCATTTCTGCAAGCCTTTCCTTTGCATTTTTTTCAGATGCTTCTTATCCTCTCTCAAAACTAATGTTATATTGTATGTCAATTGAAATTAAAAAGTAAAAAATATATATTTTGAAAAAGAAAAACAAACAAACAAAACAATACAGAATAGGAAGACAACGAGGTAACTCAGCCTGGAGAAAGAATGGTCCCTCCAAGAAACAAACAACACTTTGCTTTTTAAAATCTTCCTTTTTTAAAGGTCACTCTTCCCCAGACTCAATCCCACCTCTTCCACCACCTCTTCAGCTACGCCTAGAAGCTGGCTCTTTTTGTTACTTCGGAGCAGTTTCATAACCACAAATTAACCTCACCCAGACACATTCAGTCTATTCTCCCAAAGCTTCTTACCCTTTGCCCTTGGAAATTGCCCCACACACCTTCACACACCTTCAGGCGAAGTATAGGAATCTGGACTCTGTGGAAAAAATAAGACTTGGGTCTGCTCGAGATTCACTTACCAAGCCAGAGACCAGCTCTCCAAAGAGGAGTTCTGCCACAGGAAATGAGTGAGAAACGAAACCCAAATTTTTAGGGGCAGAAATGAAACAAAGAAAGCAGAACCGAAACTTAATAACAATAACAAAGGGAGGCCACTGGGTAGGACACGGAGGGAGGGGAATTCTTCAGCATATTTTGGGGTGGGCACCAGCCCACACTCAATCACTGTGTTTTTATTCCTAACTCAGTTTCTTCCAGCAAGAATATTTGAATAAGAACAATGTGAATTTCAATGATACAATCTACAGCTTTCCTGAAAACTCAGAATTTCCGTTCAATTCTATAATCCTTAATTAAGCTTATCCTACATTCAGGTCCTCAGCAAGTTACTAGGGATAACATAATTATCCAAAAAGTATGGGTACTTGCCCTTTGTAATGCAGACTGTGATGGGGAAGATAATCAGTGATAAAGATCTGTGAATTTGAACTGATACTTCGAGTATTGGTAGTTATTATTGTGAATGGTAAATTTTTTGAAGAAGATTTTTCAACGTGAGCCTATTGAGAAAATTTTTCCACATCATTGAATTGAATCTTACAGTTCCACCAGGTAATTATCCGTTTTTGTTCCTTATCTAGGCAGTCTAGAAGGGGAAGGCTGCCAGAGATAATGTACAGCTGTTTCAGTGCCCTATTATCAGCAAGCAAGAGGCAGGAAGAACATGGAGGTTAATAGATGGTGTCATTCAAGTGTAGCCTGGTCTTTCTCTGAATAACATTCACATCTCCATCATTGTCTGCTTTTCCCCTCCTCCTTCGGAAAACGTCTGGACCTTTGTACACCATCAATCAAAAGCAGAACTGAAACATTTTCGATTTCCTGTTATCTCTCTTGTTTTTCTTCTGACTACATGGGTCTGAAATCGCAGCTACAGGGTGGTGAGAGCTCCAAAACAAGAGTCCCTGACAGACAAGACCGCAGAGCTCTGCGGTCTTCACACATGGACTGATATGAGGCATATAGGGCGATTGAGAAGTCCATGTTTTTCAAATTAAAGCACAGACATTTTGGTATTGTTTGTAACCCACAGGAGTTTGGCTTAAACTCTTTTTGATTCATTTCTATTTATGAGGCAGGGACTGAAAATTATATAGGCATAATTGCTGAGCCATATTGACAGTTTCAGTTTTTTGGGTATGAAGTGAGTTCTGATGACGAATAAACTAATGAAGCTCTTCAAGTGCAATGAGAATCATGCAAATTTTGCACAAATTGCATTCTGAGAGCTGGCATGTTTTCCAACTATCATCTTTGTTGTCATATAACACTATCATTAAGCATCCTTCTTTATCCAGCCCTGTACCCAACAATAGTTTTATGAAAGCAAGAAGTGACTTTTTCTATATTGTTCCTTATTGTCTCAGACCTGTTACAAAGTACTGTGGATAGGAAGAGATATTTAAATAGGAAATCATGCAGTTATATAGCTATAGATGTAATGTTCATTACATTGGACATACTGATGATGACAATCATAATTCTGTTCAATTGGTGTTGTTGCAATCAACATAATTGCTGTGGTCATAATAAAATTCTAGTTTTAGCATTTACAACTCCTTTGACAAATTTTAACCAAGAAATTTTCATGTATTTTGTTTTGTTACTAAGATTTCCTCAGATATTTGCTTCAGTGCCTGTTATCTGTACCACCACACTTTAACTGCATTACTTCCTGTGCCCTGTGTGTGCTTTTTTTTTTTCAGATCAGAAACAGTAAAAATAATCATAAGTCCAAAGTGGGAGATCTTTCATTAGGTTCCTCTCTAACAGTAGAAGTAGGGACTAAAGAACACAGAGCCCTGAGGAGAACGTATTATTCCTTGGGTTTTTGTAATATAATATCCTGGAATGTGGACCATAGCAATGTGGTGAGCTCTGGTGATGGACTTTGGGTGATGGGAGGAGTGTGGTTCATTCGAGTTTCCTACTGGGCAACACTTTCTGGTAACCTGAGGAGCTCTGATATCCTCAGTTTCTCTCCACCTTAAATCCAATGTCTCAGAAGAGGGTCCCAAGACACCACCAGCACTACTCCCCTTGCCCTCCAATCTACTCTTGGGCTTCCGATGCCTTCTTACATTTCCAGATTATTTTTCCCTGCCACAGGATAATGAAACACAGCCAATTTTATTCAAATACTCCAAAATTTATACTCAATGTTTTAAAAATGTATGTCACCCTTTAATGGTTTTATTATTTCGTCTTTCTTTATAGCTTTTTTTTTTTTCCCATCTTTTCTTTACAGTTCTTTAGCAAAAACTAGAGTATTGAGTTGCCAGTTAAGGAGCCTCTGACCTACAATTCCGATTAAGTTTCTTCTCAATCTTCATGGCCAACATCTGGCTTTTAAATGAAAGGCTTTTGGTATTTTTAATCACTTGCTGATAGGGTGAGACTGCCTTGTTATCATAACCATATGATCTAATTTAGAATCAATCTTGGCATCCAGTTGTGCATTTTTAACCAAATTTACAATCCACCTTTCAGCTTCTAATGGAGTCATGTTCAGTTTATCTGCCAACATGTTAATACTAATACACTGGTGGATGTGACAAAGTCTCAGATATGAAGAGATAGGCACTTTCAATGAAATCCTCAAGAAAAGCCACAAGAAAAAGTCATTCACAATCACAGATGCACATCCTTCAGCTTTTTCTGAGCCCCATCAAAGTCAAGGTTAACATATCAGTATTCACGTCCTTTGGGGTCAATGAGAAAAACAGACCAGTGAATGAGTCATGTTTGCTGCTGAAAAGACCATATTAACTTATAAGGTCTTCCATGGCTACATCTCAATTCTGCATTAAAATATCAGAGGCCAATTTTCCCCAGAGTGAACTCAAAGCATTTCTCTCCATTGCTGAAAACAACACTCTAAAGAAGCAGATATTCTGCTGCTCCAAAGTAATTTCCACATTCATATTAGAATTTTGCATAGCTGTAGAGTGTATCTAAGTATTCTTGCCTAAAACCATGCTTGTCTGCCAGGTAGTCAAACAGCATCTGAACATCCCTAGTTGACTACATTCACTTTGTAGTTTCTGGATCTTCAAACATCTACACAATTGGTTCTATTTCTGCCTGAAGCTGTTTCAGCTGTTCAACAACTGTGGCTCTTTTTTCTCTCAAAGCATAAGAAATAGTATCAGAACAAAGGTTTTGGTATATAACCATAGCAAAGTCTACTATGTGGGAATCTAAGAAGATCCAATTTCTCTTGTAATAATTCCTTCTCCTTCATGGACAGAAACACAAGCAACGGCAAGACTAAATGCAAATCCAAAAACTGTTCAAAGCGGTCTGCCATCTTATCAAGGAAAATGCCTAGATGAATTTTTTAATATCTTTCCAGACAAGCTCAAAACATCAGATCCTATTTGTAGCTGCAATTTTCAAATTATAGATTGGTTCAAAGCTTTACAGCCCAGAGCTGTCCTAGCTAAACATGCTCAGAAATGTATATTATATACTGCATTTCATTTTTGGAAGAGCCAGCTTTTATGCCCTCTGTCGCCAAAAGCACTGCACCTCATGCAAACATCTCTCACAGAGTCTGGAGAGAACCCATTTAGTTCTCTGGGGCCCAGAATGTAGATTCAGATTACAGAATCGAAGGGAGGCAAGAGTAAAAGAATGAATATCGGATTGTGGAAGGAACAAATCCTAGCCTGTCCCTGTGAACTTCTTATAAACACACTCACACTCACTGAGCCCTTTACTCCACTCCAATTGTCAACAAGATTTATAGATTAAAAATAGAATATACCAAAATCACTCTACTGTGTATCTCTGCATTAACCACCATACTCAGAATAATCCTCTTCTTTCTAAACAGTGAGTAGGAAAAATGGAACAAACATTTGGAACATCTGGTTTTATCTCATGACATAAAATACGACCCTAAAAACCAGTAAATCCACTTAAAACGTTTTCTCAAGAGCAATGATCTGTTTGTATTTTTAGAGGAGTGGACATGGGATCCCACCAAGCCCTGCATGAACACCCACTACAAGAAAAACTCCCTTCTCTCTCAATGGGGGAGAACAAACATTTTTTCATCACTGAGATCTGCTCACTGGAGTGAGGCAAACAAGGAGAAAATAACTGAAAACAAAATTATGTCTGTGAGTGTATCCGTGGGGTGTGTGTGTGTGTGTGTGTAAGCAGAACTGAAGTATTCTTGACAGTGGTATCAAGGACCTGAACAATATTGTACATTCAAGTCTTTTTCTCGTAACTAGGCACTTCATCCTGACCTGGAACGCTGGCATTCCAGTAACAGAAGAGACATGAATGTCCCTGGAGAGACATGTCAATAATTCAACAGTACAGATTATTTTTAAAGATTCAAAGTGTCAGTCATCATAGCAGTGGGGACAAGAAGGCAGAGGTCAAAGGGAAGATTTAGAGAATGATTTCCACCGATTTCCATGGATGAGTGCTAAGGTATAACTGTGTGCATACACACAAAGAGAGACACTAGAAATATTGACCTTGGAATCCGTTGTCTTATGAAAATTCATCCAAAGATGGGGCAGTTGAGAACTCTTGGAAGCAAGGAGAGTCGAAAGCAGATAATAATTAACCGAACAGCACAGTTTTTATCCCTAGCTCTGAACTTGATTGGAGAATTAGGAATAAAAATGCAAAAAGACTGGGGATTCCCACCAAGCCCTGAATGAGCATGCATTGCAGAAATAATGCCCCTCCTATCTCATGGGAAGATGAGACTTTTTCTCTTTGTTCCTAGGAACTCTTGGCTCACTGCAAAGATAAGGCTGACCTGGGCAACAAAACACTTACCTACACCATTGTTAAGAAATCCCACAGTTGTGCTTCTGACTCTTACTACATCCTGGTGAATAATAACCTTTTAATGCTGGGCAAACAGAGATAATATTTAAATTCCATTTCAAGAAAATAGAATTACTGCAGTAAAATGAAAAACAAACAAACAAACAAACAAAATAGGCACCTGTACAGAAAAATTTATTTTACAATTAACTAAAATGTAAAGAAAACTAATTCTTTCATCAGTTATTATATTTCTTAAAACAAAGCAAGAGTAATAATGTTGAAAGTAAACAAATATGTATTCTTAAAATCATTTATTGTAGTCGCAGTGAGAGGAAGCCAAAAAATGAATAGATAACATACTGGATTATTGCTTATGGTCAAGAAATCACAGAAATTATTAAAAACATTCTGTTGTTTAATTTTCATACTACTACATCTGGCAAATTTCAGTTTTTTAAACAAATGAGAAACTGAATTGCGTAGACTTGCATTTACTTGATTAAGGCCAATATGTAGCAACACCAGAATTACAATAAAATTCTGTCTCACGCACACACTCATCTATCACTGGCAGAGCTGCAGTAGCCTTGACTAGCAGCACGTGGTATCTGAGATTTGATAAACGACACTTCAGTAAAATGACCCTAGTGCTCCCGAGAACACAAAAACCTCTTTCGCGAGACACTGACAGAGCTTCTATTTTCAGTAACTAGTAGAGCAAATATTTATTATTAAGTTGTGACACTTAGATATTTCATACTTAATGACATTTATCTTCTCACCATGATCCTCACAAGACTGCAGTTTTTATACCAGGATTATTTTAAGAAAATAAAGTCAGCATTCGAGTGTTATTCAGGGTTACACTGTAGATATTTGGAGAGACAAGACTTGAACTCAGACACTGTGGACACAAAGCTTCCACTTAGTACATATTATTTTTTATGAAAATTTCTCCTTCACTCCTTGATGAATAAGGATCATCATGGGTAAACAGACACTTCCCTGACGACAAATTTTGTAGTGAATGATTCCTATACAAGGTCTTCAATAATATACAAAACTAGTCGAAAAGCTTTCCTTCATCTTTTCAGTCAGTGACAGAGGACATGAGATTGTAAAAATTGGGGAGAGGTGATTCTTTAATACTGGTCTTTCATTTTAAAGCATTAGTCACTTTCCCTGGGAGTGCGAAAAAGGATGAATTAAGATTCTCTACTAATGCAAACAGGATATTAGGAAAAATATGACAAAGGCAAATTGTATACTCTGTTGATAAATGGAATAAAGGAGGGCAGCAAAGAAAATATGGTTAGAATGGTGCAGATAACCTAGTGTATTAGATGCACCCAAGGTCAGAGGCACACACAGAAGTGGGTGAGGGTATAAAAGGTTAAGAGTTTGGAGAACACAGTGCCATGGGGGCAGCACATTTCATTGGACTGAAATATGGAAAAATTTCCTGGGAAAAGGAACACGAAGAGAATTTGTAAATGAGAAACCCATGGCTTGTGACATTGAAAAATGAGACAATGCCAGCATTATGGTCTATGAAAACCCCAACACGACAGGGAGGAACACTCAGGGAAAGGGTTATTATCAAGGGATCGGGGGAGGAAGAGTCCTCAAAAGCATTATATTCCAACTGATTCTGTAACCCTATAACCCAGTAACCATATTTAGGTTGATATCTCAAGAAATCATGCTGATAACTCTTACTTTGTCTAATAAAACCCATAAGTTTGGAGTTAGGACATTTTTTACCATATACCCCCAGGATCCAGTCACTTTTCATTGATACATCTACCTCCCAGTAATGTTTTCCTGATGTGATCATAGGTGATCCCAGGACACTATAGTCATTACAATAGTAATTCCAGTATGTAGCTTTTTTTTTACAAACTAACACTTGTCTCCGATCAGCAGAAATAGCAATATCTGGATTATTCTCAGGAATATCCAGGATCACGTGAACTGTAGAAAAATCACAGGGTTGGGTAAGGGATATGATGTAGCTTTATTTGTGACACTGTGGAGTTATCTTCAGAATAAAATGAGTGGAGAATGGGAAGAACTTAGTTCTGTTCTTGGGGATAGGTATAACACTGCAGAAACATAATATGTATGTGTGTGCTGGGAAGGAAAACATGGGTTTTAAGATATGAGAACTAGTATAAAATGCAAAATTCAGAAAGATAAGAACAGGGTGGCTTTATAATAATGATTACTCCTTACCCCAGTAGCGCCGCACATCTGTCAGCTCTGAAATGATAAAAATCCATATTATTAAATATAAGCAGAGGAGTCAGTACTAAAATCTATTTCTTCTCCAGATCAGGGGAAGGATTGGTGACTGTGTTAGGTAGTAGATGGAGGAATGAGAGGTGAACCAGAAACCTTGCTACTCTCTATTAAATACAACCATGATATTAGCACATTATATCCATCTTCCTTTGTCTCCTCTATCCACACCTAGAAACTATACCTCCTCTCCATTTAACCCCCACCATCACAAGAATCCCATAGCCATCCTCTTGCTCTAGCATTCCTCACCATTAAACATTTGCAGCATCCCTCTCAAATCAGGAACTTGGAACATTCTTCTTTGTTTCTTGGGAATAGTTTTTGGCTTCTTCAGTGTGAAGGTCTTACTCCTAGGGATGACACAAATTGACACACACACACTCCTGACATTTTGTCCATTTAAAAGCACTGACTTCCTGTCTATTCACCCCACCGAAGCACTTGAACTCTCTTTCTTGGAGACACTGAGAAATGAGAAAATGATTCCTGACCTTGGAGCCAAAAGAAATATGCTCAGGTTTATCTTCCAAGTCACCCCTTGCATGACCTGGGGAAGGCCTTGAACTCTCAGAAGCACATGTTATTCCTTCCAAAATGAAATAACTAACCTCTTCCTTTCTACCTGATATAAATCATATGAAATTATAGAAAATAAAAATTTTTAAATGCAAAACTTTGGTTCCTCAAAACAAATTAATATGAGGAAAAGTCACTGTGTGGATGTGGGTTCATAAGGATAAGACATGAAATTGAGGTTGCAGGACCTGGTTCATGGTTGTTTGAGACATAACAAGTGTAGGTATACTGTCTAAAGAGGACCAAGACCTTTTAAATCTGCTCTCCAGTAGGGAGGCCCTCAGAATAACATCTGAGACTTTAACACTTGGATAAGAAGACATTTCAAAACCGTACTAATAGTGGTTTGAATTTCATGTGTTTGAAGAGCTTGATTCGGCTAAGTAAGAGTGAATATTTAGACACAAAGATGTTGCTCTTCCATTCTGGCTTCAAAATATGTGATCAAGATGGATCAATTGTTTGCACCAGGGGCAAAATATTACTTGTGATTCAAGACCGTTTGGGGGCAAATAAAGAGAAATATATAGCAGGACCTGGTGTCTTCTATTCTCAGGGCACAATTTTAAATATAAAGGAGTAGTATGCAATTCTGGATTCTTGGCAGGTAAAGAAGACACAAGCTACACATGACACATAAAGCAGCTATGAAATACCAGAGAGAGATACAAGATTGCTGGGTAAATAAAATTTATGAAGGTACACGGGTCAGATACTGCAACACTTTATTCCTAACTGCTACAGACCCAAACTCTGCAATTTCTGCCTAACCAAGTTCCCTACTATAGAATCTGGTTCATTTGTAATAGTTATAGAACACTCAAATCATGATTTGTGAACAGAAATTTAAGGTATTATCCACAAATTTCCTGCCTTGTGAGATATCTTACTCTAATTAACCATCAGACAACTGTAATGGCTTTAAATCTCTTTTCACAGCAGAGAAGGACCATCTCTGGTCACCCAAACTTACCTTTCCATGATGCCATTCACATCCTAGGGAAAAAAGAAAAAAACATGAGTCAAGAAGAAATAGGCCCTCCGCACTTACAGAGCTTTATTCATCCCACCAACCTTGGTGGGATAGAGAATAGAGTTGTTCCAATGTGAGAGACAAAAAGTAAAGACCCAGACCAATCATTCCAGAAGACTCACATGAGGTTGTTGGGTTTCCTAAAAGGTAGAAACAACTTTGACCCCTGTGGAAGCATGAGGCTTCTAGTACCTATAGATAGGACATATTCATGACGAAAGCAGGAGGCCCATAATATTTTCCTCAAGTTCATAACATTCTTCATGAAATGATTAGTAGTTTGTTCTTTTCTTCAATGTGAATATAAAGTGATGTACTATTACTTGTCAAGCATTATGTGAATATTTGGAGAATCAAAGATGAGTTAGTGTCATGAGGGAAGTAAGTCTGAGGTAAAGGGGACACTAAAAACTAGGCCAACGAGCTGGGTCTACAAACACAAAAAATATTGTTTTATTCTTTGTAGGGCTTTTTTATTGTATGTAACACAAAACAATTTAAACTAGATTAAGTACAGAAAAGGCATTTGGGGAACAGTTGAAACTTTAATCGAAGCTTAATTTTGAAGCTCAAAGATTGTCATTAAGATTTTCTCTACGTCCTTCTCTAAATTCTTTTATTCTCTCTGTATTGAATCTCTTCATATAAACTCCAGAAGAAAAGAGAATTTCTTTTCTCGGTTATATCAAAAATTTTTTTGGCCTGCATGGTATTGGCCTGCATTGAATCAGGCACCCATATTAAACACATCACTGTGTTGTTGCTAGAAGAATATAAAGCAAGGCTGGAGGCAAGTTTCCAAATTTCACTGGAATCAAGTTACTGTTATTCTGAAGTAGACCATGATAGGATAAGATGTGTATTGTTATCAGAAGGAAAACTATCACAAATAATCTTTAAAAATACAGTAAGAGAATAGAAAAATTGAAAATTTTATACTAACGACACTGTTTAACTCAAAAAAAGCTAGTGAACAATGAAAGAGAACAATGAAAATTTCAGGTGACCTAGAGAAGCAAATAACCAATAACAAATTAAATAGAGCCACATCAATAATTGCATTAAATGTTATTGTCTTAATCTACCAAGTATAAGGCAGAGATTGTTGGACTAGATAAAAAGCAAGAATCAATTATTGCCATTCACAAAAAACCATATTTTTGATTCAAAGACACAGATACGACAAAAGTAAAATGATAGATTTCTGGTTCAGATGGCAGAGCAGTTAAATACTGTGCTTGTCTCCTTCTATGACTACATCAAAATTAAAACTAAATTATAGAACAACCACACTGAGAACCACCTGAACATTAGCTGAACAGAACTCTTATGACTAAAACTATAAAGGTGAAGCCACGATGAGACTGATAGGAGGAGTGGAAATGTGAAATAGTCTGGTCCTATACCCAAGTGTGGTGGTTAAGAGTCAGGAGGAGGTACTTGCTGAGGAGCAAGGGCTCCGAGCCCCACACTAGGCACCCCATCCTGGACCACCAGTGCTGAGAAAAAAAATTCCTACAGCAGCTGGCTGTGAAAATCAGGAGGGACTCAGATTCGGTGAGATGGAGGGCTGCTGTGGATACAGGCATACTCTTAAAGGGCCCTAGCACAGAATCACTTACTTACAGACACTTACTCTAAGCTCCGGAGAAGCTTGCAAAAATAGGGACAAAAAGCAGGGACATATGGGGAGGAACTGAATTGTCTGGCTTCAGGTTGAGGGTTGGAGGGGCAGCTCTCCCCAAGACTAAAGTGCCAGCAGGCTCCACTGTTCCTTTTGTGAGCCCTGGCTGACTTCAGTATGCTCTGTATCTATTGTAAGTGGTTCCCCAAATCTGGCAGTGGTGGCAACTGGCCACAGTTTGCAACATAGCCTCTCCCAGGCATTTTTAAGCCCAGTATAGGCAGCAGTCAACCACAGATCAATTTGTAGCTCCTACCAGGTGGCCCTGGATAGGACACAAGCAGTGGCTGACCCTGGCCTTCACCAAAGCCCCTCTAAGAGGTCCCAGAACCAATACATCCAGTAGCCAGTTTCAGACAACATCAGAGCACCATTCAAGTAGTGCCACAATGACATACCCAAAGGGTGAACTAAATAGCAATGAATACCCAAAGGGTGAACTAAATAGGCACCACATCACCGCTAAAGTGAATTCTGCTCTATGGAGTCAATACCTGCACAACAACCTGTTCACTGCAGTCATGGCTACTCCTCACAGCCAGTTAGCCTGAGGGTCAATTCCACCCACTGATGTGCCAACAGCAATCAAAGCTCAACTACAATAGGAGAGGCACACACAACCCACACTAGGAACACTCCTGGAGGACCGGGCTCAGGAAACCAGAAAGTGTACCACTGGGCCCCATAGAACATCTACTATATAAGGCCACTCTGCTAAGACTGGGAGATATGGAAGATCTACCTAATACATAGAAATAGACATGTCTGTTTCTCCAAAATAAGGAGGAAAAAAAAGTCCCAAATAAAAGAACAAAACAAAACACCAGATAAATAACTACTTTTCTTAATAGTTTGAACTCTGGATAGTTGCAGAGTATAAAATACTGGTCATAAAGATGCTCATTGAACTTAGGGGAAGAGTAGATGAACTCAGTGAGAACTTTAACAAAGAGAGAAAACATAAAAATGGAGATAGAAAATATAAAAAAGAACCAGTAAGAAATAAAGAATACAGTACCTGAAATGATAGATACCACAGAAAGAATCAACAGTAGATAAGAAGAAGCAGATGATCAAAGTAGCAATTTAGAAGATAAGGGAACAGGAAACACCCAATCAGAAAAGCAACAAGACAATCAGAAAAGCAATAGTTTAAGGGATGTCTTGGGCAACATCAAGCATAACATTCGCATCATTGGGGTACCAGAAGATGATAGAGTGCAAAAGACTGAAAATCTATTTGAAAAAATAATGACTGAAAACTTCCCTAACCTGCCGAAGAAAATAGACATACAAGTTCAAGAAGTGCAGAGAGTCCAAACAAGATGAACCCATAGAGGCCCACACCAAGATACTTCATAATTAAAAGGCCAAAGACAAAAAGAAACTCTTAAAAGTAGCAAAAGAAAAGCAATTAGTTACCTACAAGGGAGCTCCCATAAGACGGTCAGTTAATTTCTCAACAGAAAATTTGCAGGCCAGAGGGATTGGCATGAAATATTCAAAGTGATGGAAAGCAAGAACCTACAACCATGATAACTCTACCTAGCAAGCCTATCATTTAAAACTGAAGGAGACATAAAGAGCCTCTCGAATAAGCTAAAGGTGTCTCAAAAGAGCTAAACGTGTCTCTCACCACCAAACCAATACTACAAGAAACTTTAAAGAGAATTCTCTAAGAAGAAGAAAAACTAATCAAAAGTATAAATAACAAAATATCACAAAGAAAAAAATTCTCACTGACAAAGGCTAACACATAATAAAAGAACTGGATAAACCAACACTAAAGCTAGTACAAAGCTAAAAGGCAAAAGTAGCAAGATCATGTGTAATTACAACAGTAAGTTACGGAGACACACACAACCATACACATGCACACACAAAAGAAGTAAAAAATAATGACAAAAATATAAATGTGGAGGGGGTGAGTAAAAGTGATCGTGATTTTAGAATGTGTTTTACTTAAGCAACCAACTTAAAATAGACTGTTGTAAACATAGCTTGGTATATATGAAGCACATAGTAACCACCAATGAAAAAACTCCAAGAAATAAAGAAAGAGGAATCCAAATACAACACAACAGAGAGTCATCAACATACAAGGGAAGAAAGCAAGAGAATAAGGAACAGAGAACTACAAAAACAATCAGAAAACAATGAATAAAATGGCAGTAATTAAGTAACCACCTACCAATCAATAACAACTTTAAATGTAAATAAATTAAATGCTCCAATCACAAGATGAATGGATAAAGAAGTAGGACATACATACAATGAAATATTCCTCAGCCATAAAAAATAAAATTATACCAGTTTACGACAACATGGATGGACCTAGAAAGTATTATGTTAAGAAATAAGTAAGACAGAGCAAGACAAATACCATATTATTTCACTTATGTGTGAAATCTAAAAACAAAATAAACAAACAAATAAAGTAGAAACAAACTCAGAGACAGAGAACAATCTGATGATTGTCAGATGGGAGGAGGAGTTTGGAGGCTGTGTGAAATAGGTGAAGGGATTAAGAGGTACAAACTGCCAGTTATAAAATAGTCACGGGGATCTAAATTACAGCTCAGGAAATATAGTCAATAATATGGTAATAGCTACATATGGTATCAGGAAGGTGCAAAACTTATCAGGGGGATCACTTTGTAAATTATATAAATGTCTAACCACTATATAATATTGAAAGTCAACTGTAACTGAAAAATGTTTTTAAATTTTAAGTAAGATTTCAACTAATTTTACGTGAGGATCATGAAGAGGTACCTATTAATGCTTAACATTAGGTCACAGATAACGGAGGCCTATAGAATATCACTGGACACAATGAACCTTCTTACCATGGCCAAATTTTTGCACTGCACTTGAAGAATGAATAAAAATGAGATTTCCCTTTTTGTTCATGCATTCAATTATTCCTAAAACCTCGGGGTTAGATGTAGGGAAGGGGTACTACAAGGCCAAAGAAACCTTAGTGTCACCACTCTAGAAAGAGCACAGTAACACAGCAGAGAAAGAAGACTTTCATTTTCCTCAACTCTCAGATGCTGGGGCTTCGTCCCAAGTCTTACCTGCAGCATCTCCATTGTTGACCCCTTTAACCGTCGCTCCAGATCTGAGATGAGAACTCTCACCAACTGGTTCTGCTGGACCAACTCATTCTCAGCCTCTGCCAGGTAATGTAGAGCCTCTCCCTCATCCTTCTTCAGCTTTTGCAGCTCCCTCTGCTCCTCACTGTCCAGGATACCTCTCAGTTGTTTAAAACCATCATGGACACTGTGTCTTTCATTTTGTATTTGATTCTTAAGGAATGAGAAAGAGAGAAAGGGACTCAGGCAATCAGGCAGAGACAAGGAGTCAGAAAAAGAAGTATTTGATGTGGAAATTCTTACAGGGAAGGGAGAAGGAAGCAGGGAAGCGATTCTTGGAGAAGCTGACTTTTCCTATTATTTTCTTTCCATCACATTGCAAAAGAATAGCCTCAACTGTGCATCATTAAGGCCAACCTTGAGCCAAGGTGGGACACCTGGGTGTGGCTCAGCTTTCACGCAGTTGCCCGGGACAGTCCTGCTCCCCACCCCGACCCTCTGTCTCTGGCTAAACACCGAGGACAGAACCATGTGCCATTCCAATTGCCTTCCCCTGGAAGAGTTAGAAGCTCCAAATTTGGGCAGAAATGTTGCACAGAATTCGCTAGCCATCCTCACCATACATCCCTCCAAATGTCCATGTTCATTTGTGGCACGTTTATAATACAGTCCCCACTCATATCAGAGAAAGGATAAGAAGACGACCAATTATATGGCATTTGCACCCACCGACTATCAAGAACCCATCGACTGAAAGAGAAAAGGAGCTGCTTGTGAGGAATAACCAGCATCCTGAACTGATTTCTGTCAATTTTCCTTGGGATATGCCTCCTCCTACCTTCCAGGAAGTTCTCTGTTCTCTGATGTCAGCTTCTAACCTCTCAGCTTCCTGCTGCTCCTTCCTTAGCTTCTCCAGAGCTGCTTGGAGAGTCTTCTGCAAAAGAGGAATCACACTAAAATCTAGCTCTGGGTTTTTCAGCATCAGAATAGAGGGTAATGAAGAAATAATCAGGCTGATCTCTGAAGACAGAGTTTACAGAAACTGTAAGAACAATAATTGGAAGACTAATCTAAAGTGGCAAATGTGTTCTTTCAAACTAGCTGTTAAAAGGCACCATTCCCAAATCAAGAGAAGATGGATTCTTTTTGTTGTAGAAGAAGAAACCTGACCCTGTAGCAAAGCAATATAGTAGGTCACTATCTACCCAGTTCCCTAATTAATGCTCTTGATCAAGAGGTAAATGACAGCATGCGTGGGTACAACACATCCACATTAGCACAAAGTACGTAAACATCTTCTTCTGGTTAACAGCCCAGGCTTCTCCTTTTATAACTGAGTGGAATGCACAGACAGGGTCCTCAGGCCTTGGAAGGTGAGGTAGAAAAGTAATCACAGGCCTCAGGACTAAGTGTAAAGGTAATCACAGGCAAATGCAAAATAAAGATTTCCCATCAAGTATCATTTCCTGCCCTGTCTTTCCTCCATCTTGGTTCTTACCTGGTACTCTTGGGCAACCTCCTCCACCAGGAATGTGTGGTGACCACGATGCTCCTGAGACCGCTCGCAGAGCCAGCAAATAAACTTCCCATCCTCCTTACAGAAGAGCAGGAGTTTCTCTCCATGACGCACACAG